CCACGATCCGTGCCAGGACCTTTGGCAATCCAACGCTCCAGTGCGCCTCGAAGTATGCAGCAGTTTTTAAGTGTGTCTAGGTTTCGCCAGGAATCCGAAGCGTTTCCAATGGCAGCTGAGCCGCCCCCCCCAATCCCAAGTGGTCGGACCTGCAGATACTGGCTGTGCGAGTAGAACTCAATCGTTTGCAATGCGGGTCGAATCATAATTTCCTTCTGCCGGCTTCAACCCTTTTCAACGAAAGAAAAATGAGCAGTGGCAGGAAGGTGGGGTAGAAAACACACCGACAACCAATCAAGACCAATCTCGACCAGTCTCACTTGTTTTCCAACCCATACCGCATAGCTGTCATGCCAGGAGAACTCGAGAGGGGCAGGAGACGGTTTCACTTGGCAGCTGCATCGATGTCCTTGCCGAGGGTCGGTGGCTTCCAAGTCCACCAAACTGGGTCATTTTTGGCATAGTTGTTGGCTCGCTGCTTTATTGATTGCCAGCAGGAAAAATGACACGAGTCCAGCATTCTGGACAGGGATTATCTTGCTCCAGATTCGAGCTGCAATCTGGTGCGACACATTTTTCACAGCACAAAGACTGGTTCAGTGTCGTGGCGACAGGCGAACACAGAGGAAAATATAGGAGAAATCCATAAATAATAAATAAAACGGAAGAAAAGTCGCTTGTAAATACTAAACTTGGAACTTAATAGAATGCGAATTTCATTTCGCGTTTCTGTAAGGTATACTAATCGCATCGCTGACTTGTCTCTGATTTCCGATGACTAGACAGAAAGTGTAATGTGGATGCTGCTGTGCTCGCCTATTTTCGATTATCATAAGTCAATCGGGTATTGGCCAACTAACCGCATACTTGTGGCCGTCCTAACCGGCGACCGACCCGTAATCCCCCCTGCATGTGCTAATGCGACTGCAATGTTATACAACACCTACTGACACGTCTTTGCGGTCGACTGAGCAGTTAAGTATATACAAATACGGATCGTGTTTGCCTGTCAAGCGGTGGGAATCTCACTTAGAAGGGGAAACCAAAAAATTAGCAAAGCCTTTGAATGGGAAATTATCACCAGGCTGATTCCTTGGGAAGGTAGAACTTTTGTTCCCGAATAAGAATCTGAATTCGTATTAAATTAATAGAAGCAGCGAAAATGATCGAAGCGGAAATCTTTTTAGCCAACGTTCCGCCGCTTTAAAGGAATTGTCCAAAGTCAAACAGGAAAGTTTTTGTGGCGCTCGCTAAATCGCCTCGCGTTTCTAATTACCGACTCATAATGCAAAGAAAAGCGGGAAATAGGAAAACGGAAGAGGAAAGGCGGACAAAGCATGGAAAGCCAGCGAGGGGGAGAGCTGATTAAAATTTTGCTGCGACTGCAAATTAAAGTGAAAACATTTTCAGGGAGTCCTCCGCACGTATATGCAACTACGCAGAGGCAAAGGACATGCAATGCCACAGGGCGCCTGGCGAAAAGTTGATCCTTTGCCCGGCCATCCAACCAACCAGCCAGCCAGGCAGCCAGAGGAAGCCGCACCCAGCCGGAGCCAAAGTCAAAGTCCGGGGAGTGGGGGGACATACGAGGAGAACCACATATAGGATAGACCGACCGCCCACATGCACGTCCAAGTTTAACGCAAATAAATTGCGCATTCAGGCGGGGCAGCTGAACTGGGTGGAACAGCCATAACGAAGCTTAAGCACAAAAATATGTGGGGACCCAAAAAATAGATGGAAAAAATATACGGAAGGCAGCAAATAAAAACGAAAGCCAAGTGGGCAATACGACTCGCCTTGCTCCACTCTTTTTCCGGCTTGCGTTTTCTCAGCTTTTTGCTGGCATCAGCGGCAAAATGCAGACAGAAACAGGATGCAGGCGACTCCATAACTCACGGAGTCGGGCCAAACGCGCTGAGGATATCCGTTTTGGGCATTCCCTTGATTGAGGTTCTCCTCCGTCAGACCCAAACTGCTCCTTCGTGTCGCTATTTCTGCCCAGCCTACTTGACTATGCATGGGCCGTGGTGGATTGTGAGTGAATCCAAGGCACTGAGAGAAAATTGTGGTAATGTTCTGTTTTGTAGAAATCTGTAGAGATAGAAAGGACATCCAAGTTTTCCATTCTGGATGCCTAACCCCAAAGTTTGTGGATTGGAAAACAAAAATGCAGAATCTAAATATTATTCTCAGTGCCTCGAAAGGCGGAGAGCTTCGCGTTTGGCATTTAAATTGACGTATTCCGAGGCTCTGGTTATGGCCATGACTGTCATAAATGTGATAAGGGATGATATGCCTTGTTTCTGTTCCTCTCACCCTCTCATCCTCCCCTCTCCATCATCATCCGAGGGCTGACATTTGGGGCTGGCTGCTTTGTCTTAATTAATAAGTCAATAGCTTGAATGCTTGAGGCTGCTTACGCCGCCCGAATGCTGGCAGCTGCTCTCCTTCATAATTTAGTTAATGCTCTCCTAAACTAAGGCCGCAGCCAGACTCCCCCCGTGGATTCTGTGGACCGCACAGCCTCCCCTCCCCGCAGATACCTAACAAAGTGGGGCAGATGGAAGCAATTTGCCTGCCACGAGGTGACAAAGGTGCGCGGTTTGAGTACAAGTGAATGGTAATGGAGGCCATAACAAAGCCGGCTGCGGGCCAGATTCGATGGAAACGAGGAGGAAACCTCGAGGAAACCCTAATTGGACGTGAGCAGGCAGGATTATCTGCCAGAACTATCTTCATTCTGCGGATAACCCGAATGAGGAGTGATGAGCATATAGCTTGCCCTACGAAAAGCATTAATATCTTGAGGAAGTTAAAAACAAATCGAATTGGTAGGGAACTCTCCTAGAACTTTCTATCGTAATCCAAATTCTTCAGTTCACTATGGAATTTTAGATGACAGAAAGATTGATAAGACTGTGAAGTATGTATCTGTTTTTTAACAAAATCACTGCGAAGCGTCAAAGAAACGACATTAGCTGTGTTGCCACTCCGCCAGGAAGTGTTGAAAAAGTGGCTGTAATGCTGCCGCTTAATTTCGTTATGAGCCCATGCACATTTGCGCCATTTCGCAACATTTTCATAATGGCGTCGCTGGCTGCAGGCACACACGTGGGTAAGTGTGTAAATGCTGTAGGTTGTACGGTGGATGGAGTGGATGACTGGATGGTTCGGATGGCTGGGTGACTGACAACATCGTTTGGCGGTTGAGTTTTTTATGCCAACGTCGTTGTGACAGCAGAAGCAGCAGCAGCAGCAGCAGCAGCGCCATCGACAAGCGGGCCTAATGGCGCAAATGTTCAATAAAGAGGCTTTTAACGTGCGCTCCTCCCCTCCCGCGCTGCTCTCTGAACTAGGCAGGACGTGGATGTGGGTCCTCGACGCTCTGCAATCTGGGCCCATTCCGATGCCGTTTGTGTTTCGCTCTTTTAGTGGCCACTAGAACGCACTTTACGGCTCCGCTCCTCGCACGGAGTGTAAATGAAATGGCCATATTCGTGCCCATCCGAGGCCTGAATAATACATGGCGCCCGTAAAAGCCATGTTTATTAGAGGGGGCTACAAATATATTTAGCTCGATTGGTGCCCTTCCTTCTATTTGTCTACGCATTTCGGGAACAATTAATTTATTCCCGGACCGAAAAAAGTTGCGGATGGCGAATGGCGGATGGTGGATGGCCGGTGGACGATGGTTTTGCTTGAAATTTGTTTCGAAAATAAACACTCGCATGGCCAGGGCCACACTCTGCCGCCTTGATTGATGTGCCCCCAGCACATGGTGCGGTTGGGATGGCTGTTCCATAACAAATAGCTCGATGTGAAGCGCCATGAGTTCACTTTTAATTAAAAATTGCCTATGCGAGATCCAATAAATTCGGTTCGAACGGAAGAGGAGCACTAACAACCAACAACTTTATGACGCACACAAGAGTTGATAAGTGCAAATAAAGCGGCGCCGCAGTCATAAAAAGTGTGTTTCTAATAAAGAAATTCAAAACTCATCTGGTTGCCATACAGTTCGTGGCACCACCCTGCATGCGAGTGTGGACAGAATGTAGATGCCTTCAGAAGAAGGCCTTCGCGGCAGAAGAAAGCTTGTGTCATTCAATTATTTTGCCATTAGTTGCTCGTGACACTCGACTTCAGAGGGCGTGCCCACGCGTAGAAGTAGGCCTCCCACTCTCGGATGGGGTCCCAGCATCGACTCTACATAGAAGGCTCTACTGTGGAAGGGCTGTTGTCAGTGGGTCCATGATTAATAAATGCGACACACTGTCGACCGCAACATCACTGACACCTCCAGAAGGCCAACAAGCGTCAAGGTGGGCTAAGTATGCTGTGGCTTTCCAACACGCCTTCCCTCTGTGCAGGGGGACTCACTCAGGCCCAGAAGTACACTGAACACGATATATTGATATACTTTATGAATGCAATTTGCAATTCTTGCTGCACTTTAACTTTTATTCAAAGATATATAACGAATTATACTTAGAAAATGGTATTTGGTATATTGAATTTCAACCTTTTGGGGTAAGGTAGGACCTTTGTTTTCCGTGTACGTTTGCCAGCATCAACATCGCAGGCAGCTCCTTTGTCAGAAACAGGTGAGACAACAAGTACACGAAGCCATTACGTACATACTAACTTCTCTTGAGAGGCAAACTTGAGCCACAAAGCGCCAGAGATAGACCAGGTATAGCCATATGCACATGCGAATGCTTAAAATTGAAGAGCAAAGGTTTTTCCATGTCCTTAAGGGATGTCCGCCTGGAAGTAAATTCAAATAAGAGAGTTAAAGGTATAATTCGGAGATTCATTAATTAAGTGATAGAGAATTCTTAAGTTAAAGGGAATTCACAATGCACTAACAAGGAGCCACCTTAAATGGGCCCATTGAACCCGCCCGAACGTCGTAATGACCTCTTTTCAAGCCAATCCCTTGTCAAATCCAATTAACTAAGATATTTATACCCCTTATCGCTTTCATTTGCTTGCAGATTGAGGAAACCCATTGGCTGGCAGACCCACAGCATTCAATCAAGCGCAAATCGGTTCGGTCTGAAAAGGGCACATTTTCGGCCTTGCAAATTCCAATCTTGAAACTAAATGACGCCTGTGTCTGAAACTGAAGCCCTGCTGCCAAATACCGCAACGCTGGACGCCAGACGACGGCCACAAATTAGCCAGCCAGCCGTAGATTTGCAAGTCTAAGGAGTCGCCAGTAGAAAGTAGAGAGTAGAAAGCAGCGACCAGAGAGAGAGAAGGGATCCCTGTTCAAAGGAGCCAAGCCAGGTCAGCAACACAGGCAACATCAAAAGGGAGGACCAGCCAGTGGGACTGCGACTATTTTTCGAGAGCGCCAAAGGATTCATTAAAAAACCGCCAACCTGGAACTAATGGAATTAGAGAATATTGTGGCCAATACGGTCTACTTGAAAGCGAGAGAAGGTAAGTGGCTTTATTTTCCAAAGAACTGAATGCTCAAATATTTGACTGCGAGTTTGTTTCACTCTGTGCACAGGGAATAAGTTGCCAATTACAGCCTGTATTTGCCTAGCCAGTGCGGGCTTTCTAAACAAGGCTTTTAACTCTAGAAAAATATTAAATGTGGGAAAGGAATTCTCTAAATAGATTCATCAGAAAGCGAAGTTCTATTAACTTAATATAGAATTTAAGGACCTTCCTTTCATCTCTTTAGTTTGCAGGATCTACCTTTTTCCACAAAAGAGGCTTCCAATTTGTTCTCGTGGCGGGCACGTGCTGAAGTGGCCCGTGCTGTCACCTTGTCATCGATTTTTGCTGCCCCACCTGCCCGGGGGTGGGCTGTTTAATTGTGGGATTGAAGTTGGACGCGAATTTCGCCTTCGACGAGGGGAGGATGTGAGGGCTGTCGCTGCCGATTTCGTCCTGCCAGGCCTTTCTGCCTGGTCCTGGGCTTTATCTAAAGTTAATGAAGCGTTAAATGTTTGCGCTCCAGCAACTTATTCATTTTCATGCTCCATGGTGCTGGGCTTTAAGTGCTCTATTGGACGCTCCCGCAGATACACTTCACTTCGTTATCGAGGTCACACTTCAATTGCAGGGCCCACGCCCATCCAAGTTCACTGTTATCTCGCAAAACGCCGCCCACCACCGAGTTTTCCCCGTTGTGTGGCGCCATTGTTCTGTTTATTTACAGTAGAGTCAACTTTGGCGATTAGGTTGTGGGAAATTTATGCAAAGTTATGCATTAGAAGGCGAAAGAAGTTTGTGCAAGCCACCAGTAAAGGTCACCTTCAGGCGGCGCCTTGCACCGCCCAACATGTTGCACGCCACGCCACATCCAGCCGGATCGTATCCTTTTTGCATGCGCCCAATCAAATATTTCATTTTAAATGTTATTTATTTTATTGCCGTCTGCCTGATAGTAAAAGCCGCCCCTCGCCCCCGGAATTTCTGGCAGATACTTTGGTTCGTTTGCTTTCGGGCCGCCTCAACAGATTTAAATGACAGAAACGTGCGCAAAATTTCAATTTGTAGTAATGTAATATTTTAGAGCGGACTGGGAATGGGAATGGGGACGGGAGCTAGGCAAATGGCTCTGGAGCGGGATGAGCATTCACATTTGCAATACATTTTACGAGTCAAAAAGTGAATTTGTCTTTTGAGAAGCGCGGGGGATGGCCTGGAATGAAGTCGCGCCGCCAACTGCCGACGGCAACGAGAGGAAAATCCATTGCCATAAAGTTTTCCCGGCTCTATTCTGCTGTCATTTCTTCTTTCTCCGGAAAAGTTCCGTTCTTACCCGTCATATTTTCTGGCCAGCAAAGTTATTGCTGAGTCTTGTACTCCTCCTCCATTGTGCGAGTGCCTGCTGAAGTATGCAAAAGCAAATGCAAATGTAAGGCAGAGTGATTGTTCGCGTCGGGGGAATACGCTTTTTTAGACTCTCATTTACAAGGACTTATTGCTGTAGGATTGCTAGCAGGAAGACTCTGGGATGTTTTCCAGATTTAAAGACTTCTTGGATGCATTCTGGAATCTTACATGCTTCTATGACTCTTAAAGATTCATAATGGAATAGCTTATGAGTTGCTGTTTCACTTCGGCAACTGACAAATCAATATTTCTAATCCAATCGCCACTTCTTGTCATGAAATTAATGCTGTAATTAAAGGCTGACAGCAACTGATTGCTGCCTATCACACGATTATCCTAGATTAGCAATTGTTTTGCCGGACTGCCATGTGTCCGCTCACATGTTTAATTTGATACCCAGATAACCGGGCGGATGACCTAGGCGAGTGTGCAAGTCAAGTAGAAGTCGTTGTCTGTCAAAGTTGGTCTGCAAAAGCGATTCTGCCGTATCAGTTGTCAGATTGTCGCTCCCCGCCCGAGTTCGTTGTCGATGCTATCTGCAGGCTGTATATTTACATACGAGTACATGGGATCGAATCGGATCGGGATTGGGATCAGGGGTCGCTGCTGCCGGTGCTGGTTGCGGGCCACGAAGGTCTTGAGCGACCTACGTCACTCGGCGGAAGCAGTGCGTCACGGAAAGCCGGCTTATCGCCGACTCTGGTGGCTTGTTGTTGGGGCAAATGCATTCCGTGATTGCTGGCTCATCCAATGGCTGAAGGGCCACGCCCCTCGGACAACAACAGCTGCTCTTCAAAGTTGTTTTGGCTAATTGAATGCATTTCTTAATGACTGCAAACGCCAAACTGGTCTCCTTTTGTCCGGGCATTAGGGAAAATTATGTTTGCATTCTAAGCTGGTCTGGTCTGTTATTTCTCCTCTTTTCTTGGCCTCTTCTGCTAGTTTTTCTTCTTCCCCGTCGCTTCAGGGTGGCATTAAAATGACGTCGCATTAAAATGGTTTGCGGTCGAGGAGAGTTGGGAAAAACGTCGCCATCGCCGCATAAATTTCACCCTAATGCCCGGCCATAATGCTGATTATACCAAGAGGCAGACGTTGAAGTTCAGGCTCCCGGACTCCTCTGCAAGTCGGAATGAAGTGGGAAATTTAATTTGGTCCCAGCTCAAAAGTTGCCGCTGCACTCCAGTTATCAGCTGGACGAAGTGCCATAAAGAGCGGAATTTATAGTGCGATAGCGAATTAGAATCCGCAACTAAAGTGAGCAATTAAAGCTGGGAGCCAGTAGCTTATCGCCGAACTAGAAACAGCAGCCGCAACTTGTTTGGCGGTTGCTTTTGATGTCTCAAAGCCATTTATGGCTCAAATTCAACGGGGAAAAATCCCAATCTAGCATCGATATTAAAGCAGATGATTTAGGAATGTTTTGTCGCTTTGTTTCGGGCTTTGTAAAAACTCAGTAAATCTTGTTTACGGGACAGCTCTACCTCTCCCAATTTCATACACTTTTTGCATAGATTTTCTTGGAGTACCACGAGAATTTCAATCCCTTTCTGGGCACTTCCAGAGTCCAGAGTCAGAGAGCGGCAGGTGCAGGGGCCGACTGGGAAAGTAGTTCATTGACCGCTGGCCAGCTAAACAGGCGAGTAGCCGCCGCGTGGGCAACAGAACACAGCAGGGGAACACGCGAATTCATTTCAAGCGGTCCCCGTTCCCGTCCCCGTCCCCAACCCCGCCGACTGCCCTCTTTATCGAGTGGGTCTAACAAGCTCCAGTTATGTTGAATGTATGCTAAACAGTTAAAAATCTAGATGTTAATTATCGCACGCAAGCCTCGTGGAGCTGAGCTGGCCAGGGCAGGCAGCCTAGCCAGTTGAGCAACTCATCAAGCCCGCCATCTCTGGCTCCAGGATGACGGACGTCCTGGTGCCGAAGAGGGGGAGCTTGGATCCTTTGCGGTCTGCGGTGCCTGTCTTCTGTGCCCTTTGGCCTTTCCTCTATCTGCAGTTGCAGCACGTACCACCCACATCCCCTTGAACCGACTAATCACGACGGAGCTGAGCTGTATCTGTGCAGACCCGTCTCCCTTTGTTAGTAATTGCAATCAAAACGATTGTTGTTTGGCAAATTGAAGACACATTGATTGTGGCCACGCACCGCATTCGCTCTAATTGTATATGTAAAGTGCCACCCATAACGACCAGCTACAAAGTACATTAGCTCCCTGAACTAATGCCAGATATCCGAGCAGCGAACGTTTCCGCTGACGGGCAAAAACAATATTCATTAACACTTTTAGGTGATGCAGAGTGGAAGAGGCACCTTGACTGATAGACAGTGGTCGTACCTCTTAATGTAGATATCTGCAATTAAGATGGGTAAATATTGTGATTAGCCTGGAATGATACTCAAAAGCAGCTAGTTTGGAAACCAATTACCCCGCAAATTAAATTCAATTACCGCGCAACAAAAGAAGTCGTAAGCCTCTTAGGCTGACACTGTCGATAGTTGTTTAGTTGCCTTGTTGACAAAGAAACTGCCATCTTTTGTCAACACAAGAACTTCAATTATTTGGGATTACAGGGTAGGGTGAGTTTCCAGTTCGTTGTGAGGGGAAAACGTATCTAGCCCAGCACTTTGCGTCGACGGTCGATGTTTATACGATGTCTGTTTTTTGCGCTGCCGCTGTGGGAATTCAAGAGGTTGCTTTTGAAAAACCGGTAGCTGCTGCCGGGGGAGTCGCAAACACAGATACAGATACAGATAGAGATACAAATACTCAGATACAGATACAGATACAGATACAAACTGTTTTTGACGTAGGCAAACAGCAATAATCAGAACGGCAAAAGCAATAATAAGAAATAACATCGAAACGTCGACCCCCGACGTTCGACAATCCAATCGCTGTATTAAGTGACGCGCTGCTGCGTCAGCAAATGAATATTTAATCGGAATATTTAATGGTTTTGTCGATGGAGCGTATACGTAATATGCGAAATATGAGTATTCAAATCAATTTTTTGGCGGAGCATTAGTCCATTTGTCTTCGTCTCAGTCTCAGTCTCCGTCTCCGACTCTGCCTTTTGTCTCCCCAGCACGCTGCTTTCCCTCTTAATTGATTGAAATGGATATTTATGATTGTGTTTTGTTCTCAAATTGATTGAGTTTATGCTCCGCTTTTTGCATTTCTGATCAATCTAGTTTGGAACTTCGGAATGCCATTAAACGACCGCGGGGAATCCCCGACCTCATTAGCCGCTCTTCTTGTTCTTCCTGTTGTGGAAGCTCGCCGCTTATTTGATTTCAACTAACCCGCTCACCCCCATCTAACCGCATGAGCCGCTGTCGCCCAATGTAATATGTACTGAGGAGGACCGCAAAGCAAAGTGCGCCAGGTGGTGACCCGATAGCGCAGCTGTGACCCGAACATGCTTAAAAATGCATGCACTAATGACCGCAGAGACGACAGGTTCATGTAAACACAAATGCGATCCAGCGACACCATTTGTCCCGTTGCCCAGTAAGGTGGTGGCCGGTGGTCAGCGGGGCGTATGATTAATATTTTAAAATTTAATGCGAGGAATAACCGG